CCCCCCCCCCCCCCCCCCCCCCCCCCCCCCCCCCCCCCCCCCGCCCCACCAGCAACCTGCTCCCCCTCCTGTGTTCCACACATTGCCAATTCTTTTATATGGGAGGGAAGAAAAGATAATATTAAAAGTTCTTTAGTTATAATTTTTAAAATATGCATACCTATTCTTGGGAGTCCATCTTTAAAATTTAGAAGTACTCTTTGATTAAAGCAATTTTATCATTTTCAAGGGCTTACATACATGCTTATTCTGTGACAAATGATTTATTGTCCTGAGATGTGGTTGGAAAAAACCAAAAGCTAGCGTATGTTTTAGAACACAGTTCATGGCACATGTGATTCAAACTCATGTTTTCTCTCTTTAGCGTATTTTAGAAATGCTGGAAACCCTCATCTTGAAGTTGTTGAAGAGACTGTCTTAGCTTTGCAGTCAGACCGGGACCAAGATGTTTCCTTTTTTGCCACCCTGGAACCACAGCGGCGGAATCTTATGGACATCACTGTGCTGGAAAAGCAGCACTGAGCACTCTGCAAGCACTTACGGCCTGGCCGGTTCATGCTTGGCACACACTGCTTACTGTGCCTGGAAGGGGAACTGACTGAGTGACGCCTGCCGTGGGAGGAAGGAGTTCTGGAACTTTATACCAAGCGCTTGAACGCCCCCTTCCCACCTGCGGTGACAGGACTGCACCTGGGATGGGCTCTGGTTATGACCCCCTACCTACCTGATCAGGAAGTCTGCGAAAAGGTGGAAGAACCAGGTGGCTCACTGGTTGGGGGGCCTCCATAGCGAAAGACGGCCTGCGAGCTGTTTGTCTCTCTGTTACAGGCTGTCATTTAAAGCCACCTCCCCCAGAAATAAAGTCGTTTATAGCAGCTTTCACTCTTTAATAGACTTGCATATTTGGCTTCCCTTATGCTTTCTGATAAAATATAGTTTATGGTCTTATATTTTATTTTTAACTGAAATACTGTACATATATAAATAACTCTTGACAGGAAGGAAATATATTAATGTAATATTAGCCTCCTATCAGTGAACAGGACAAATACATCATTTAAATTTATGCCCCACTTTTGAGTTGCTGCAAATATAGCCCAATTTGTTTACTTTTGAAAAATGTGATAAAGAAGTCTACTACTGAATGATTTATAGCAAGCTTTCTAATATTATACTTTTGTTACAAACTGTACTTGGAACTTTTCCTAGGGCACTCATCCCTCCCCTGGTTGCTCCAATTGTATCCATAAAGATGTGGCCTTTGATAGAGGCAGACAGCAGGGAGCGTCTGCATTCTTATGCGGATATGTTACTATGCGGTTAAGAACTCGAGAGGAGCACTGGTCATTGAAATGCTTGCATATTGGCTTTATACCTAAAGCTTTAGAATCTCAACAAACAATTAGAAACCATAGTTTTGATCAGTCCATATACTTGCCCGAAAATACCAGTGATTTGGGGGGTTAAATTATGATACTCTTCAACTTAAGTGCAGAGAATTTAGATTTCATGCTTTTAAAATTTAGACTAAGAGAAAGAAATTCTAGGATTTAAACAGGTTTTTCATTAATTAATAATTCAAGGTTCCAGAAACATTTGCTTAGATTCTGCGTACATGTATACACATGTTATTCTCGTTTCTGTTTTTATCTCCTCAAAGGCAAAGGGAAGGAAGGAGCAGCCCATCTGGGGCCCAAGAGCCAGCTGCAGAGGGCGCGCCGCTCCTTCCATTCTCCCCTTGGATCTTTGCCTCATCTGTCTTTTCTATCTTTCTTCCTTTTTTTAGAAAACTAAATTTCTGGAGCTATATATTGAATTTCCTGGTATATAGGATGTTCTCCCCCTCCTTCAAATTCCACTGAGCTGATTCTTTAAAAAGAAAGGAAGGAATCTATACGTGCCAAAGAAAATAAGGCACACGTGGGAGAATTTCACATTGTAACCCAGGGTCTCCTTTTGGCAACTCTGGCAAAGAGTGAGTTAATAGGTTGGAAGCTACTTATTAAGAAAAACCCAACCCCTCTTGTGTCCCAGACCTGCCTGAAGTGCGAAGACGGACATAGTGTTTTGCTTCAGGGGCAAAGAATTTTTAATTTTTTTATTGCTTAGAGATTGAGATTGTCCTGTTATTCACATCTGTTCATCCCACAGCAAGGAGAATTATTCACCTGCAATCTTGTATTCTGTGCAGAGCTTAATTTTCCATTAGGAAGAAAAGATCAGCTTCAGTTGGTGGTGTGATGTGTGGAATCTGCATGCTGAACCACACGTGCTCGTGGAGATTGTAGAGACTCTGTGGGAAATAGAATCTAACCTTTAAAATTTCAGTTTATGTGTTAAAAATTTTCTATAATTTCATACGAATGCCTTTCCAATGCAAAGATTTTTTATGACTGTAATTTCTCTGCAAGAAGTATGTTTAAAGCTCACATTTTATGCTTTTCTTTGTGACAACGGTGATTTTTTGAGGTTGCTCTGGTCCCTTGCCACCCTCTCCTACGCCCCCTCCCTTCAGCTCTGTGTAGTTGTCGCTGTGGGTGGTGGTGTTGAGAGTTTGTGACTTGACACGTCGGCTTCCTATTTTACTTGACCCCTGAGCCTCCCCTCCTGGGAATTAATGGAAAAGCGCAAGATGGTGTCTCACATAGAGCTCCTCAAAAGGTATCTTAACACGGAAACTTCTCAGTCTCTGCCAAGTGGACATTTCCCCCTTGTGAAGTGTTTTTTATCAGCATCTTTCTTTCTCCAAGAATTAGCATTTTCAGAAAAGCTTTGCAGGGGTCCACGGAGCCTCTGTCTCCCACTGCCGCAGTGGCCAACTCTGGGGTTTCTGCCCCATCAAGTCAGGCCCAGATCTGCTGAAAGGAGTCGTATTTCGGCAATGTTGGTTTTTTCGTTCATGCGAGAAATACGATTTTTAAGCGTGACTAAAGACTGCACTGTAGGCCTCTCGAGACGATGCACGCGGTGATGATATAGAGCGTTATTCACGCATCACTCCTCCAGGTGGTTGGCCCCGGATTATTCGAAGATTGTATTTAAACGGATGTGGAGAAGAGGTCGCAATTTCCCAGCAGCGGCCAGAAGCCGCCCCGTTTCGTTTTCCGGGCTCCGGGAATTGGCATTGAGAGCAGCTTAGCGCTGCGAGGAGCTGGGGACGTGGCCGCAGCTGGGCCTGCGGGGGCGCGCGGCCCCTCGGCGACGCCTCTGGATCGGTCTCAATAAACCTCTCGATCGTTTTAGGAAGCGCCTGTGCCCTTTGCCCTCATTTAAGACCGTCCCCCAGGGGGGCTGCGCCTCCCGTAGCCGCGCGGCCCGTCGGCCCCAGCGGGGGCTCGGCCGTCGCCGGGGGCGCGGGGCGGGGGCGGTGGTGACGCGCGGCCGGCGCGGGGCCGGGAGGATGCGGCGGGCGGCGGCGGACGCGGCGGGCGGCGGCGGAGCGCGGGCGGCGGGGTCGGCGGGGGGCGCCCCTCGCCGCGACCCCGCTGCGGGCCGGCGAGGCAGGCGGGCGGCGAGCTCGGCGGGCCCGCAGCCCCTCCCCGCGCAGCCCTCGGGCCGCCCCCGCGGCGGGAACCGTGGCGGGGACCCGCAGGCCGTGAGCCTGGCGCTCGACTTGACCCCAGACGTCTTCACCATGAGGGTGCTGCTGGAGGAGACCGGGGAGGTGTTCCGAGTGACCAACTGCCGCAGCGACATGACCGTGCGGGAGCTCAAAGAGGAGCTGGACCTGATGGTCGGCATCCCTTTCAACCTCCAGCGGCTCCAGTACCTGGACCAAGGTGGCCCCTGCCCGATCCCTTCCCTCGACTCGTGTCCTCTCTCGACCCTGGGCACCCAGTCTCCTTCTGAGCCTGCAGTCCCCAAAGGGAAGCCTACCTACATGAGGACCCCCAGATGTCAAAACAAACCCCAACCCCCTGGAAACCCCAGACGGAAAAGCAAAACCTGGCCAGCTAGGGACTTCCCAAGCCCAGACAAACGGGATTCACATTAGACCTCAAATCTCAAGGCAAACCCTGTCCACAGGAAGACCCTAACCCTCAAACAAACTCTGCCTGTGTCAGGGCTACAATCCCAAAGCAAGGTGTCTGCTCAGACCTGAGCAAATCCTGTCCACGTCAGGACCTCAAACCCCAAAGCAGACACTGTCACAGCAGGAGCAGGACCCCTCGGGCCCAGACCCTCAAGCTCCCAAGTCCCAAAGCCAACAGTGTCCACACAGGACCACAAGCCTGAGGCAAAGCCTATCTATCTTCAGCGGGACCCCGCAACCCGGGGCAAACTTGCTCGCATCTAGACCCCAAACTCCAACACACTTCCCAGTGCTGGACTTGTGGACACCAGAACCCCCAATCCTCCAGCCAACCGTGTCCACATAAGGATGCCAAAGCCCCAAACAAACTCAGCCCACCTCAGGACCCCAAAATCCAGAACAAACCTGCCCAAGACTGAACCCCAAGTCTCTAAGGTAACCATGACTACCTCTGAACCCTGAATCCTCCAGCAGCTATGTCCACGCAGGGGCGCTAAAGCCTGAAACGAACTCTGCGCACCCAGGACCCTATATCTCTATACAAACCATGCCCACAATTGAACCTCAAATAAAGTCCCAAGCCACCACTGCCCACGACAGAAACCTGAATCCCAGAGCAGACTCTGCCCAGATCATGAGCCTGAATCCCAGAACAGACGCGCCCCATTCTGAGCCCCCAGTCTCTAACCACTTGTGCATCTGAACCCCAATCCATCAGCCATTTCTGTCTATGTAAGGATGCCAGAGCCCAAAGTGAACTCTTCCCACATCTGGACCCCAAAATTCAAAGCCCACATCTGAAAGCCAGTTGCCAAGTTCACCATGATTATACCAGAACCCCAGTCCCAAGCAAAGTGTCCTCAGAAGGGCTCCAAAGCATGAGACAAACTCTGTCCACAATAGGACCCCAAAACTCAAGTCCAATCTACCCATATCTGAACCCCAATCTCCATGGCAACCATGTCTACATCAGCTCTCCAAGGTTTAAGGCAACCATGTCTGTGAAAGGAAGCCAAAGTTTAAAACAAGCCTTGCCTACATGAGGATCCCAAAATTCAAAGCAAACTCTGCTTGTATTTGAAACCCAGATCCTTTAGCCAACCTAATACACCCCAGAACCCCAAATTCTGGACCAAACCCTGCCTATGTCAGGACCCCAAATCTCAGGACAGAGCCTGTCGCCATTAAGACCCCCAAATCCCAGGGCAGACCTGTCCGATTCCTTACTCCCTGTTGCCACGCTACCCAGAACTATGTCAGAACCCCAAATCCCAAAACAAGTCCTGCCCATGCAAGGACTCCACATCCTAGAACAGACCCTTTCCATACCAGGACCCCCAAATGGAAAGCAAACCTTGCCTTCATCAGAACCCCACTTCCAGAGCGAACTCTGCCCTCGGCAGGACCTCACATCCCAAAGCAAACGCTGTCCACATGAACCCCGAATACTGGCACTAACCCAGTCTGTATCAGAACCCAGAATCTCAAGCTGTGTCCTTGTCCACGTCAGGAGCTCAAAGTGAGCCCAGCTGGAATTAGAACCCAGCACTGAAAGCTCCCTGTGGCTAAATCAGGACCTGAAGTCCCCCTCCCCAGACAAAGCCGACATGGGAGGCACCGGGGGAGGGCGAGGACCCCAGAGCCCAGTCTCTGCTTCCATCAGTCTCCTTCCCCCAGCCTGAGGACCTGCTGTCCCTGTCCCGCTTCCTGCAATAGTTAGGATACGAGAACAGGATCAAAGACCCCGGCTCCATCATCTCCCCACCTGGGTGAAATCAGTGCAAAAACACTTCAAGAAAAGGAAGATAGGAGAACTCTCTGGGCTGCTGCACAGAGAACGTGAAGAGCGATCTTGCAGACACTGCAGTCGTACTTCAGGGGCCGGGCACGATGGAGGCAGAGCGAGCGCGGAGAGCAGCCTGTCTCCACCCGCTCTGCTCTCCCAGGCGCTGCCCTTCCGGGGCTCAGTTTCCTGATCTGGAAAGCAGAGCCTTTGAGCTCTAGAATGCTCAATGCCATTCCCCCTATAGGCAGAAATGGCTCGGGAAACTCAAAATGTCTATGGAGGGCCAAAATACCGTCCTTTGCTCTCTTGCAAATAGGTTAAGCATGTTTCATGACGTATTTATTTTGCTATGAAAGTATCTGGAAGATGCTTTGGGGCATTTTTGAGGCTTTATTTGGAAAGAAATGTATCTCGAACTCAGTCTGTTTTAACGTGCTAAAAACGAGGAGAGCTATTGAGGGACTTAGTAAGGGCTCCAGGACAAGTAATTCAGAAATTACGTATCCTGAGCTACCAATGTCTGGCACACAAAAACCTTCTGCTAATTTATTTTTGCTGATGAGCTATGCTCAGCAATAAATTCAAGAAAGCTAAGAGGGAATGAAAGAGATGGAGTGACTGAACACTGATGTCACAATCCCATCGCTCAGCGGCACTTAGAGACTGTGGAAGCTTGACCTCGCCTGTGTTTGCACTCCTTACTGTTGGCAGCTCACGAGAAAGAGAAGGTGCTCCTAGGTTGTTAGAAGACGTTGGGGCTTCTGCCTATAAATAATCCGCTGACGTTTCCTTCTCCACCTCAAAGGTTGCCCGGGAGGATCAAATGAGATAATGTGTGTGAAAACCTTGAGAGACGCAGATCCAAGAGGGCTGAGCAAATTCATGGATGAGGGGCGCCCTTACACGTCTGTTGTCGACTCTAATAATTTATTTCGCTGGTGATAATTAGTATTTGTCTGAGCCGAAGGCAGTCGCTGCCTGCCTGTGCAAAGAGAATGGGCTCTGGGTTCTGGGTGGGCTGTTCAGCACGTGTGAATCGCGCTCCGTCTGTCTCAGGGAGACGCAGCTTTACTCAATTTTTTCAAAGTTGTTAGGAAGTCGAGTTGTTTTACTTAGACTAATTACTGATTATCCTCTGTGTGAGAGCCACAAATAAGACCCTAATTAACAGATTTGCTAGTCTCTCTTCCTTGTTTACACCATCCAGAGTTTCTGGTAAGCAAAGGGTGTCAACAGAGCTGAGAGTGACAGGCGCGTGGCGCCGGAGGGAAGGCAGGTCTGGTGGGAGTCTCGGCTTTGCCACTTACCTGCCTGGCGAGCCCCGCTCTGCTCGTCAGCAATTGGAGACAACAAACCTAGCTTGTCATGAGGATTAAAGAATGTAGGTGCTTAGTACAGGCACTTAGGAATCACTTGATCATGAAACCGAGAAACTCACGAATTCCACTCAGAATAAATGATAATCCAACTGAGGCAGAGTGGAGACTTTACATCCGGGGCACTGCTTGTGGAGAAGGCAGGTCATTCTGTTACTCTTAAGCAAGATGGTAGGTGGCCATGTAAGAAAATGTGTGTGTCTTCAAAAAGGTAAGCTAAATACAACTCCACTTTTTTAAGATGTTCTAGAATCCTCTTCTAATTCTCATGGTCTTCCCCAAAGAGTCTGAATTCACGAGGTGTGAGTAGATCCACCCCCTACTCTTTCATACGAGCAAAGGGCTGTTGTGGGTGCTGACAAGGACAAAGGAGTTCTGACATCCCAAATCCAAATTATGGCGAATGTCAGCATTATGATTCTTAGGCTACTGTAGGTTCCCAACTAGGGCAATATGGTCCCCCAGGGGCATCTGGGAACATGTGGAGACATTTTTGATGGTCACAAGGAGGTGAGTGTGCTACTGGCATCTGGTGGGTAGAGACCAGGGATGCTGCTAAACACCCTGCAGTGCACAGGGCCGAGACAGCCCCCACAACAGAGAGTGCTCCAGTCCAAAATGGCACTAGGGCCGAGACTGGGAAACGCTGCCATAGACTGTAATTTGAAAGATCCAACAGATTTTTATCGTTGTTAGCTCTTTAGCCAACCAATGACAATGTTAACCAGCATTAGTATTTGAGTTGAACGTCTACGACTTGCATAACTACGTTGTGCTGTGTCTGTGAGATATAGTTACTTCAAGTTTAAGCAATTCTATTTGCAGAGTTTGCCTCATAAAATGATTTTACTGACTCATGTGGTTTTTTTTTTTGCAATAGGACAAGTTATAATTACAAAATTTTATAAATTATTGCCTTTTTTGTTTGTTTGTTTGGCTTCTATTTGAGCTGAGCCAAATTAACTTTCTAAAAAGCATTAACGACCACAAACAGACTCACCCAGAGTCACCAAATGAGATTAGTGCTCAAGGTTCTAACATTATCTTTGTGGTACCCAAGGTCAGGGAATCTCTTAACTTAACCAATGGATGGTTTATCTTTAATATCCAATTTTTTTCTTTAAAGAAAAAATTGTTCCCCGTAGGAGTTTTGATGGATGACGCGACGCTGAAGTTCCATGATGTGGTTCCTGGTGGAATTATTTCATTATGTGTCTGGCATTATGATGGATGGACCGAGCTGGTCATGGCGGCTGTGGAAGGGGATCCCAGTAAGGTGTTTTCATGCTTCTTTAAATGGATATTACATTTCATGAAGCAACTGTAAATTGTGTGTGCGTGGGGAAAATCACTTTGTCTCGAATGTGGATATTTGAGTAAAAGTTTCAGAATAGGGAAGAAAGGTGACAAGGACTGGTGTCATAATGCTCCAGTATCGGTGCGGTGTTTCCATTCGGGTCTGTGATTTCACTGGGCTCACTTATCTGTTATTTATAACTCAATCGCCCCCCTCGGAAGGAACCCGGGCAGTGTATTTTCTATTCACGTATACATTTGGTAAAGTTGAAAACCTGATTTAACAGTGAGGGAAGAACTCCAGATGACTTGGAAACGCTCGGCCCAGAGCATTTGATGGCACAAAACTGCTAATGGGGGTCTGTCCCCACCCCGAGGAGGGAGAGATCATGCCCTGCTCAGATACGCAGCAGGTGCCTACTGTTCTCTGGGCCCTGTGCTTCGCTCTCAGCTGGGCTCTGGGGTGGGCGGTGGGGGAAGGAGGAGGAAATCAGGATGTGTACCCCACAGGGAAGATGAATCACTCAGACACAGGGGGCAAGTGTGTGTTCTTTCTAGAAAACAAATTTGGATGAAAAGCTATGAGCTTGTGGAGAAGAGGAGACGGTTTACTTTCAGCTGGGAAAGGAGTCTGGGAAGGCCAGGTGCAGGAGGGGTGTGGGATCAGGCCTGGGAAGGGGGCGTGGGCTCTGGGGAGGTAGGACCAGGACTGTAGGAACTGCCCTGCTTGCTGGGAGCGTGTGAACACCTTAGAAGGAAGGGCGGGGCCCTTCGCAGCTGTTTGCGCACCCCTCCAGCTCCTTCCCTGCGTTTCTCCCCCCAGCCTTCCCTTCCCCCACTCTGCCACCAACGATTGGGTCTGTGCCTGGGTTTTCTGGCTCTTCCTCTGGACGTGGGGTCATTCCCTCCTGTGTTGAGTCAGCGTTGCCATCACCCCTATCTCCCCGACACCCCACACCGAATGCCCAGCATGTGGACAGAGCGCCTCCTGTTGGAGCCCGTAGTCTTCCTCCCTTCCTCGTCCTCAGCACCTCAGTTCACCACGAGATGATTGTATGATGGGGCCATTATTCATCCACAAGTTCAGAGTATTCCAAAAGGGAACAGAGACAATGGGCCCGCAAATAGACCGGAAGACCAGAATTCATCAAGTGTCCAGAGAAATCTGCTCCCCTCCGGGGAAGCCATTTCATGTTGGCTGGTGTCTTCCTTAATGGCCTCAACCGCCTCTCTCTGGACACCCAGAAAAGCTATTGTCTCTCTCTAAAACATCGGCAGGAAGAATTTCCTGCCTCCCGAGCCTGCCTGGTGGTAAATTCGTATTTCCTGGATATGTATAGAGACTTAAACAATGTCCTCCCCTGGGCGTTTTCCAACTTCTTGGTAAGGTTTGCCCCTCTCTGTCCCCATCACAAGCCCTCACTTGGCATTTGAGCAAACCTAAGCCCTAAGTGTCCAGTCACCCCCCCCGCCCCAGGCGGGTGCATCTGCTTCTGAAATAACTCAGACCCACGGCGCGTAACTCTGTTATCTTGCCCAGCTCTCTTGCCTTGGCCTTGCTGAAGATTCTTTCTACCAAACTGCAAATTCACGGCGTTTCAACGACAAGCAGTGGAAGAAATGGACATCTCAGAGGGCGTTCGTGGCCTTGTATATTACCTCACACAGAGGTCACTTGGATGCTGTGCAGTACCTTCTAGAACACGGTAATTCTGATAGACAGCTGAGTATGTTCGAGAGTTGGGGTCCCTGGCAGAGAGGGCGGACAGGTGGTTTGTGCTCTGGTCCTTTCAGCAATGGTTTTCCGGACCCAAGCCTTGTCAACTACCCATCATGGGCCCCGTCAGGCCACTCCATCCCTGTCTGAGGTGTCCTAGGATGCGCTAATCAGAGGCTGTGTGCCCTTTCTTGGCCAGTCTCCCGATTCTTTTTCTTGTGGGGAGATGGAACTTTGAGGACACCAAGGCGCAGGAGCAGCCAGAAAAGGGCTTCCTGGCATGCTATGTCCACCCAGACACGCTGCTGTGCCCTTTCTGCCCCCCTGAAGTTGGGTTTCTGCAGTGGTCCGAGGCGTCTGGCCCCAGCCGGCCTTGTGCTCTTGGCGGTCTGCAGGCTGGCCCGCCTCCTTTCCCCAAGACTGAGTCATTTCCCGCACAGGAGACGCTCCCCCAAACCATCTTTCATCTCTCCTGCAGCAAAGGGCAGGTGGCTCCCCCTCTCTGTTGACAGAAAGAGAGGCCGTCGCCTGCGTTGTCTGCGAATAAAGGGGCTTTGCATGCGATTCCATGGGCGTGCACTTGATCTTCCCTGGACGCAGGATATTTTTGGGAAAAGAGGCCCACTGATTGAGGTATAGATCATTCAAGAACAATAGACAATGGTTGCAGACAGCCCGGGCCACCGGCTTCCTTGGGAAAAGGAAGACCGTGTGACGTGGTATTTGATCAATGGTTTGAGGCTCGGAAGGGGGCCTCATCCGAGGGTCTCCCGTATCAACCTGTCTCCGAATTAGACCCTTTTCTTTCCTGCCCGCGGCCTGACCCCAGCCTCTCTCTGCTCAGGCTTTGCTTTGTCCCGGCTTCCACCGACTGAGGTGGGAAACACCGCAAATGTTGGGGTAGCTTGTGGGCCGCGTGTTGGGGACGGGGGAGGTCCCTCGCCTGTGGCCTCCTCCTGCCTCCACTACTTTCTGCACTTTGCCTGTTGCAAGATGAAATACAGGCTTTCACAGCCAGCAGTCCTTTAAGCTCATAAAAAGTCATTTTCACTCTGATGGAACTGTGATGTATTTGAAAGCACCAGTTAAAAAATTACAGCCAGCTTTGCAAACTTTTCTGTCCTCTACAGACAGCCGCTGTGGAGAGGCGCCGTGGCCGAGGCTGGGCGTTATGAGAACCTATTTAAAACTTTACCTCACCGACCAGCCATAGCTCATAAAAGCTGGCAACCGAAATGTCAGCTGCTTGTAATTGAATTGCCTTGTTTTCTGTGTCATGATATTTGTTACCCAGAATTTGATTCAATTCAACAAGTCCATATTGGACACCTGTCATTAGCCCATCCATCTGCGGGAGGCAGTGAGGAATTCAATCGAAGCGAAATCTGTCCATGAGTCAGGCCGCCCGTCGTCTGTCATTTCCCGAGTGTCTGTCTTCCCCAGGCATCGCACTACGTGCTGGGGATGAAAACAAGAGCGATCAAAACAAGCATGTTTTCTGCCCTCATGGTGTTTATGAAGGGAAGTCAGCAAATTATTACAAATAATTAATTCCACGGTCAGTCGTGCATAGCATGTTCTGAAGACGCAGAATGTCTGCTAAGCATATACGGGGGGGGGGGGGGGGGGGGGGGAAGTTGTGGGGAGAGGGTGCTGAGGAAGGTTTTCCTGAGAAAGTGGATGAAACCTAAAGAAGGATTGAGTTAGCCCAGAAAAAATAAAGGCTGAGAGTGTTGTTAGGCAAAGGAACAGCATGTGCAACGGGCCTGGGGCAGGCTGAGGGAGCAGGGCATATTTAAGGGATAAAGATGGAAGCCTGGTCTGACTGGAGCATGGCAGGAGGGGAGACAGAGCATTGGGGGGTAATGTTGGAGTGATAAGGGGGGAGGTGGGGTGAGATAAGGCAGTAAAGACCTAGAACACCAACCCAAGGGCAATGGATGTCAGCAAGGGGATTTGAGCTGGAAAATGATATGGGCATTTGGGAAAGGTCACTGGCCGCCATGAGAGGAGAAGACTGGACGGCAGGCAGTGCTGGATGCTGGGGGAATGTGCCACTGCCCCCTCCCTCACCCTTGGGGCTGTGGTGGGGAGCAGTCATTAGCTCTCCCAAGTGTTCCTTCCACAGCCTCAGCCCCTCTCGTGCATCTCTCCTTGAACGTGTTTCTGAAGGTGCGGCTCATTGCCGGGAGGGTGGTCCTCCCTCAGCCAACTCTCTTATTTTACAGGAGCCAACTGTCTCAGCAAATCCCCCGTAGGCAGGACACCCCTACACGTGGCTGCAGCCATGGGCCGGTCTGACTGTATTGACGTCCTGCTCAACTATGGGGCCCACATCAACGACAAAGATGCCAAGGGGGAGACCCCCATGACCATCGCCCGCCGCCTGAACCGTGTGCACAGCGAGCGACGGATGTTCCTCTGCTACTGGAAGACAAAGTCAGGGACCACGGACACGATGGACATGATCATGAACAAGGTTTTCCCGAGAGTCAAGGCTGGATTTGGCTCCAAGAAGAACAAAACTTAGCTACCTCGGGAAAGTTTGCACGTCAAAGCAGACGTGGGTAACTTTACAGAGTGCCAGTCCACGGTGGCCCTCGGTGAGCGGGAAGGCAGGAAAACATGGCAATTAATCTGAGTCCAATACTGAATTATCTGTCCTGTTTGCAAATGATTTGGTGAAGGTGTTGATGGAAGTCGGTGAGTTTGTGTTCATTTCGTGATCCATTACGGACCTAACAGGCTGGGATGCCAGCCTTTAATTTTAAGCTATTTGTACATTGTATCCAATAATGCTGCTTGGGGTGATGAACCAATTACCTTCTCTCCCGTCTGGAGACTGTCTAATGCATCGGCGTAATAGGAGTAATAGCAGTAATGAGAACAGTGCTGCTGTTATCGTACAAAACAAGTGCTGGAAAGGTTGGGAGGTCGTGTGCCGTGTGGGCTGTGAATTCGGTTTGTAAATCTCATGGAAGTAAATGCTCCCACGGCTAGTAATGTTCCAGAAGTTTTCCTGAGCCACCTTTGGGAGGGTCTTCTGCTTGAGTCGGCCTGGGGGGGGTGGGGGAAGAAGTGAAGCAGGTGAGGAGCAAGGGAGAGCTTGAGTTGCCAAACACATTCTCCAAAGGGGGCCCTATGACTCGTGTCGCAAGGTGAGTGGGCACTGGATTTGGAGGCGACAGTGTAGAACATGATGATGAGCCCGTAGAGGACAGAATCAGAGCTGGCGCCGGCCCTGCCTTGGCTGCATCTCCAAGGGTCTGAGCAGCCTTCTCCCACCAGCTGCTGCCTCCTTTCCTCCTACAACCGAGGTAGCTCCGTCATCCTCTCGAAGGGGCAGTATCTGTGCTTAATTCTAGGCTCTCTACCTCACAAAAGCTATAGACCTCCAGGAGCCTGGCCTGCCATGTGGGTGAGTGAGCTGGGAGAGACGAGAGGGAAAGGTGAGGACTGGGGCAAAGTGACATGCACACCCCTGTCTGAAGAGGGCGCCACAACTCAGGTCTAGCAGAAATGTGAACCAAAGGCTGCTAGATCTTTCCAGAACTTTCCAGAGTTGGAAATCTGGCTTTTTGATATGATAAGTCAGGATTTTTAAGTGTTGGCTTGAATTTTTTTGAGATGGTGATATGGTACTAAAGGAGTAGAAGATTTGAGACGCACCTATGGGGCTTCCTACCATTGTCAAACTCTTCTCTCATGTCACCGAGGAATGTGGTAGAAACAACATGAGACTCACAGGAACACTCCATGGCCCTGAAGCCACAGGATGGGAACAGCCATGGGTCTTGCTGGGTGACGTGTAGCATCCGCCCTCCCAACCCACAGCCACGTATGCCTCTCTAAAGCCATGTCCTGGCACAACTTCCAGAATCGGTCTGTGTGGCGACAGTCTCTCGATCTTTGATGTCCTGAAACTTGTGATGGAAAATGGCACCGTATCCTGGTTGCCCTTCTTTCTGACTTACATCCCAATAGCTGGATTCGGCTTTTAAATTAATTGGCTGCATTTCCTGCTGTCATAGCAAGTAAGATCTGTGTTGATGGTGTGGCTTTACACTCAGTAGACGTGGCTGTACCCAGCTTGGCAATCTGTTTGACAGATAATAGGAAAAAGATACAGCTCAGCATCAACCATGTCAAAACCGAGATCTCGTTTTTGGCAGACGTTCTCCACAGTCAACAGGCAGATGCGAAATAAGCCCGTCCGATGGGTCAGTTCATTCAGCTAATGAGGCGTGTTGCGGGGGACGTGGGCACCCTTTTAACTGTAGGCGTGACTTTGCTGAAAGTCACGAGTTCCTGGGGGCTTTGCTCTGTGTCTTTGTCATTAGGAAAGCTGTCCATCTGACACTTGTCGCCAAACTTTGGCGGCAAGCCCTCTGTCTTCACGTGCACCCAATTCATCAAACACGTGGTCAGAAAGCCCCTGCCCTCCATGGCGACATTTTGCTCAGCCCATGGCAGGGTCCTCTGATCACTCCTGTGGGTCCTGGGGGCTCTTCATCTGGGACAACCTTAACATCCTATCTGTTGTATTCGAACAAGCCCGCATCACCTATTCGATAAAATCTGGCCATAGCCGTGGAAGGGTTGATTTGAAATTGGTCACAATTATGGAACATTTTGTAGCTATTTCATTAAACGTTTATTTTGAAGGTTTTTTTCCCAGTCATGCTTTGGAGCCAACAGAAGAAAGTTCTTTTTGACGGGTCGATCTCAAACCTTTTTGGAGGACCCTGAAATCCTTTTAGGACCAAGGCACTGAGGATGGTCTTTGGTGGTGAACCCGCTGTGGTCTGTGGTCACCCACGTGGGCCTCACCTCTCCGTGGAGAGGGATGGGCTTCCTCTTGGAAAAGGACTGTGGCAGTCTTCTGGGCATAGTATCCAGCTCCCTTCTTATCTCGTATATCCCGTGAGGCTGGACTCGGTCACCAGAGCGGGAGAGCTGCGGGGCGGTGTAGAGAAGCAGGGTTTGGGGTCAGTATAGACCCCAGATGGCATCTTGCTGACTCTGCCCTGTGGCCTTGGACGAGGTCCCTACTGCTTGAGCCAAGAGTCTTCTGTAGAGGAGGATGGAGGGTGGTCCTGGTGCCTGGTCCCTAAGATTGTTGGGAGAGCCTGGGAGATGGGAAGCGCTCAATGTATGTCACTCTTACCATGTGAGAGCTGGGCTGGAAAATCTTGCTGAAGTCATGGGCTAAGTTATTGATGTTTGAGAGAGAGGGAAGGTCGGAGACCCACTTGGTGCTTTTCTTGGGCTCTCTTAGGTTCTAATCGCCAGAAAACTCATGACCTAACCCTTTGAGCTCAGTGCCCCCATGAAAATGCCATTGAGTGTCCTTGAATTTCTCGGTGGCCAGATGAAGGATTCCTCAGCATCTCCTGCCATCAGGGACATTGCTCACCAGTGCACCTTATGTCAGCCTGAAAAACAGGCCCTTGGAGCTGGGGACCCCTTCTGGAGAGATGGACAGCTCACTACAAGCAGATGATGGCAGCTGTGTCAGCCACCAGTTTGCTATTCGCTCTGGCTGCAGGATGCTCAGAGCCAAGGTTAGCGCCTACCTGGAGCGAGTACCCGACCCCCTCCCCTTGCCTTTTCTCTTCTCCTGAATGAGTTATAATGAGTCACTCTGTTTTGTTACATATGTTTAATTTTAAGTTGCCTCAAATCCTTTCTGGAAGTCAGTGCAGTATAAATTAGAAAGAGGTAATACAAATTGTGGGGTTCAGAGGGCGACTTGAACATCTTGCCAGGACTGGCTCTGCTGACCCAGCCTCCTGGCCATCCAGCCTCCGGTCCCCTGTCCTGCCCACACAGTCTCAGGGGCAGCTAAACAAAGATGCGAGCTTCATTCTACATCCAGCCTATTGGCCTGGTCTCCAGCATCCTCTGGAACCTGCATGTGGGCATCTTGCTGCCCCTCTGGACCTCTGGCCACCCCCTGGGTCTCACAGGTCCACCCGGGTCTTCAGTACCGTGCCTTCTCTTTGCAAAGACCAAGAGGTTTCAGCTTCGAGCCTGGGCTCTTGCCACCTCCGTCCATCTTAGACCTGATCTCCCTCACCTGAAGCATGTCCACCAACCAGAGTTTCCCAGAGAGGTGGAAGGGCATCTCACTGGTGGCACCTCAGGGGGCTTTAGGTGGCCCCTCACCTTGCATTAAGTGACCCTGAAAATACGGTGAGAAAATCATTCCCTTCTTAAATTTCTCCCGATCCTTTTCAGTCCAACAGGGAGAAAGTCTGCGTTGGATGCTATGTCTGACTCCTCCCCGACCCTCGTTAATCTCCCTTTTAAAAACACCCTAATGGGGCGGCTTCTGCAGGCAACAGTACTATGCTAGGATTTCACATTGCCTTGTTTTCAGTATATTTATGGGCTGGGATTCTATTCCTGTCTCCACTCCTAACTAGGTGTGACCTTGGGGCAAGTTGTCATCTCCCAAGGACCTCAGCTCCTTTGCCCCCGTCATCTTCCATCCTAACCTGGTGATGTTGGTGAAACGAGATGACCAATGTGAGTTGTGTGCCCAGGACCAGGAGCCCTGTCAGTGTGGCCCTCTGGTGCCGGGGGAAGGGCCTGGGAGTGAGGTGTAGCCGAGCCGGTTTAGAATTTTCCTCTGCCACCGGCTGTGTGGCGTTGAGCCAAGCAATTGCATCTCTCGGAGCCTCAGTTTCTTTGTCTGTAACATTCGGGTAATAAAACCTGTTCCTGTCATCACTGGAGGGATTAAATGCCTGGCACAGAACAGACACTTGAAAAATAGTAGCCATTATTATTATTATTCCTACTCCACTTAATTTGCTTAAAATGTTTACTCATCGGGAATCAATACACTCCCCGTTTCCAGATAGCCTCATAAATTTCAGCAAACCTCGTACAATAGGAGTCTCCATCCAGAACTCATAATTCCCGAAGTGGGCGATAAATAATTCCCCTGAAACTTGCTGATTTTGGTATTAAATACAGGGCTTCCTCAACAACTCCCAGAAAAGTCGTTCTGAACCTGAAACTCCAGGGCCAGTTCTGCGGGAGAGGAAAAAAACTCTGTGAGGAGAGAGGAAAATTCCAGTCGCTCGGCTCTGCCTCCGCAGTGCCGCACTGACTACGCAAGCATCCAGCAGAGGGCACAGAAACCCATTAACATTTAGAAAAACGCCGGTGTTTGTGCTCATCGGAAATGTCAGAGATGCTGCAGTCTGCGTCACACCGAACACTCGAGATCGGGGCTCAGTGACAGGGGCTCGCAGACAGACTTCTCTGCCTGAACTCCTGAAATTGTCTGCAAAATGTGCGTGTCTGCTCACACACGTTTTCTCAGGAGAACATTCTTAGCTCTTATTAGATCCTGAGGGGGTCTGTGGACCCCCTGCCCAAAGGTTCCCAAACCTGGACACACAAGGAGACCAGCCACACGAGTTATCACCAGTCATCAAAGCAAAGCACACATGTTGGCACCTGCTACCCATTTGGCTGGTGTGCACTGTCAATGTGCACTTTGGAAAATGATAAATACTGATAACACCTGGCTCTGTGGGGTGGTGTGTGTGTTTGTGTGGACATGGGTACCTGGGCTGTGGCTCTCTCTCACACTGCAGCAAGGAGCTCGCAGATTCCTATAGCCTGGTAATACTAGGATCCGACAATATGTATGTGTTCAAAATGCCCAGCTACTCCACTTTTT